CCTTTCTCAGCCACGGCTGCAATGAAAATGCTTTTCTGCTTTATCATTTTCTTTCTCCCTGGCTTGCTTTTTGAGTTATTTTTGTTTTGATGCTTGATATTCACATGACATTATACATGAGCAGATTGGTGTAAGACTGTGTACAAAAAGGCAAATTACAAACCATGCATGCAATGTAATAGCACATGACAGACACAGCAAGTAGATACAATAGTCTCAGACAAGTGTGAATGGGGGGTGTTTGTGTCTGGTCTTTTAGCCTGAAAATTTACCTCGGGCTTTCAGGAAAGGGTTAATAGAGACAATGACAAGTGACAGAGCTTCTCTGATCACCCCTGGGAACGCTGGCTGTAAAAGTAGAATCATTCCTGAAGAGGAATCTAATGTATGATTAATGTTTATTCTGTAAAACCAAGGGTCCTGTGGGTTGTGTTGGCTTTTTATAGCTGCATGGGAATATCAGGATAAGAGGTTTTTTGCAGAGCCAGGGAAATGCATTTCTATAAAAGGAAAGCAGCGCCTCCTTATAAAATCCAGTGCTGGATTCTGTTCTGGAGCCTTAGCTTAGCAGGACGTGTGCACTTAGAAAATGTGCAAATGCAAACACTCAAAAATGTTGTGCCCGTGTCTGATCTCCACTTTGGGACTGTCAGTGATTAAAAGAGGCCAAGGCAGTAAGTGCCTCAAACCCTGAGGATGTAACTAATTAGTAGCTGCACAAGGCAGCGTGAGCCTGCAGTTGGCAGGGCCACCTGATGCTGTAAATGGTCTTCTGAAAACGTGATCAAGCGTGTGATGCTGTGTGAGCCTGTGCAGTGGCTTTGTGCAGCTCTGCCGGGTCTCCTGGGGATGCCCTGGCAGGTTTGCCCGGGGCACGGGCTGGCACACGTACTGTTAAGTTGGGATGTGCTTGTCCTTTGCAGCTCATTCAAGGCAGTGTTAACTCCGGGGCTGACTGTGGGAGTGTGGCACTTTGGGCTGTGCCTGGGTAGATGTGAGCAGTGCTGAGAGTTTGATGTCATTTCAAAGAGAAATTCTCGTGGTTGGTTGTTATTTCAGCTTTTGAAAGTGAACTCCTGGACTTACTGCTTCTGTACAAATCCGAATAGGCCGGTGGGGGGGACGCAGTGTGCACCAGATGAAAGAAATTTAGCAATTATATCTCTGCGAGGCGGTTCAGTAAAACTTCAGAGGAACGAGATGGGGAGGTAACATCCTCTGTTGTGTTGTTTGCTTGCTGCTGGTTGGCTGGGAAGATCCGCCATGACGAGAAGACGAGCTATAAAGCTGTCCAGACGAGCGAAGAGGGGTCGTCGGCTGGCGAGTACCAGGGTCCGCTCATGGTGCTGGCCCAGAACTGCGCCGTCATGCACAACCTGCTGGGGCCAGCATGCATCTTCCTGAGGAAGGGCTTCGCAGAAAACAGGCAGCCTGTACGTAAGTTACACCCAGCGGGGCGAGACACGCACAAAGCCACGTGGACGCGAGTCGGGGATGCGGAGCCGCCCCCGTGCTCCGTCTGCGTGCAGCTCTGTAACTCCCAGCCCTGGATCTCGAGTGCAGCTCCAAGTGCAGATACAGTCGCAGGCAAATGTCTAACCTGAAGGATGTGCAGATATCCTTGTGCCTAAACACCAAGAAAGGAGGATTCTAAACTTGCAGCTATGGAAAATAGATTCGAGTCTACACTCGAGTAGCCATAATCATATGAATTCATGAAAAGGTTTTAGGACTTCAGGACTTGCATAATCATATGGACTCAGGAAGAGTCCAGTGCTCAAAGCTGTTATTCCAGCAAGACACCCATCTCTCATTCCCAGGCTCAGATTAGCATTTAAAGCCTAAATAGCCAGTTAAATGCAAATCAGGGCATCTGTATTGGGAACAAGCTGTCCATATTTGATACTGTTCCTATCAGTTCACAGTGAGCACACTAGTACCAGCAGATATAAGCAGACAGCTGCCTCCTCACAGATACCCAGACACAATCTCTTGTGCACTGGCATACCCAGCCTGACACTGCAGCAATCCCAGCCAGTTAAACTGAGGAACATCAGGCTTTCCTTATATTTGCAAATAGTGCCAGGCTACCAAATGTTATTACCCTCCCACATGGAGAGAAAGAAATAGCAAAACCACTTCCATTCATTCAGTCACACCTATCGTAACTAGGTGCTCATATGCATCCAATGTATGCATTTTTATACAAAAAATAAAAATATGTGCTTGTATGTATGCACCCCAATATTGTATCTTTACAAGAACTAAAACGTATTTTTGCCCCATAACATTCTACTTCCACAATAACATGAATTTAAAGACAAACAAAATTTAATATGATTAACAAACCTTTTATGGATATGTATTAGTGAATTGTGCATTGTCAGATATTCACCCAGTGCCTTCCATGTTCTTGTAGTGAAACAAAGCTTACCCCAATTGCCTCAGAACCAGAGGTTTATTGCATCTGTAAGAAACCTCTGCTTTACTTGTGTGTTGATATGGTCATCAAGGCTGTAGGAGACATGTAGGTCTTTATTTCTGAAACCTCTGCTTCAACCAACAACTCAAAAAAGAGTAATTATTTGTCATTATTGATCAAAAGGCTTTTGTTCTTCCTAACCTTCAGCCACTGCGTGATCACACAGTCCCTGTGCCAGGTCACTAAAACATGAAACACACTCTTGCACAAGTACACTTGCTGACCTGCACAGAGCCACCTGTGACAGGAGATAGGTCCAGCTCCCTAGTGGACAGCTGGACAAATGTCCATCCTGCTTAGGCCATGGAAGCTCACTGTACCCTGAGAGGTCTCCAAAATAGGATTAGTGATGTCTCTAAGTACCCTGATGTAGAATAAGTGCATCTAATACAAAGCTTTACTTTTACTGACTCTCTAGGCCAACAGGATTTCTTGTGCATAGAACAGAAATAAATGAGAGTAAGACCATTAAGTATAATGGACTCAGAGGGGGTCACCTCTGCTCATATCTAGGATCTTAACTCTTGGAATAGTTTTATTCCTCTTCCCATATGTTCTCCGAAAGCTTTAGAGTGATTCAGCCCATTTTATCCCAAGCAATTTTACTCCTTAATCATTTTAGGGGATCTTTCAAATTTAAAACAAAAAACCTCTTCCTGATGTTAGTTATTACTTGAGTCAGATTTTTAGAGGGACATAAACCCTCCCCCTCCTTCTGCATTTGCAGTATCTGGCAAATGCAAATTCTTTGGTGTGCAAAATTAGTGCTGAAGGTTCTGACAGGTGTCACCAATGTCAGTTACAATGTGGTCTTCAGTGAGGGAGGAGGAGGAGGAGGAGGAGGAGGAGGAGGAGGAGGAGGAGGAGGATGGCCTTGTGAGGACTGTACTGATGGAGGGCCTGGGTCCTACCCTGGCCACTGTCACAAGACAGCAGCTCTGTGGGTGAGTCATGGCACCCTTTGCACTGCAGTGCTGGCACTCACAGCTCTGCACCTGCACCTGCTGTGCACCCAGCCTCTATCTCCAGGGATCGGTGTTTGCACTCCATGGAATAAAGTGCACAAGGTGCTGGAACTGATTGTGGGTGGTTTTCTTCTGTTATTTTATCTAAGGCAGGAGGGCAATTATGCCTCCTGCATCCGGTCTGAGGAGATTGAATTGCTTTATTACTTGGTATTGATGAAAGCAGAACAAATGGGATGACATGTTTGAAAATACCAGGTCTGTGAAGGATGAAACAGCAGAGCCAGCACGCTCTGACAGTTCCATCCAGCACAGAGATGCCTCTGGGAAGGTTATGAGTGGCAAGCTGGTCATTTCTCTGGCACAGCCCACTTCTGCACAGACGTAAACCAGTGTGTGTCCTAGTTTGCTACGCACTCCGAGCAGCTGCCATTAGAGTTTCCAGAGGAGCCTGTGGTTAAATAGCAAAGGATCATCCTTCTCAAACTGATCAAAGGCACCGTCTCCAGGCACATGGGATGAGGCTGGAGGACACCTGGAAGGCAAGGAGAAACTCCCCACAGTTGAGGGGAAAAGCCGAGAGTGAGACGACAAAAGAGATCGCGTTTCTGTGTTTCCAAATTCTCAGATGTTTTGGATTTGCCTGGGAACCATGAGAGGAATTAGAAAGGGCATTTAAACCAGAAAGCAGTGCATTTCCATGCTCATCTCTTCTTCCTGGTGCAGTGTTGGAGCTTTCCTATACTCTTATTTCCTCCCCCTTCTTCCAAGAAATTCAAATTGGATGTTTGAAGTTGCAGTGTTTCCTGAACATGGTGAATCCTTGTCCTGTTTCATTTGTGGATGACCTTGATAATGTATATGTTGTGTGTCTGCCTTCATGACTGGTTTCAAAATGCTTGTATATGGAGTTGAGGCTGGGGGGAAGGGGGAAGTTACTGCCTTTTTGTGGGGACAGATTGTAGGAGATGTCACTGAGACATTGACTGTGAGAGACCTCATGGCTGTTGCTGTCCTGCCAGGAGGACAGAGATCAAGCAGTGATCTGAGCAGATGATAGTCTAGACCTGCTGGTTACAAGGACTGCTTCCAGCTGCTTTGATCTGTGTGTATCAGCAGGAATGGCAGTAGAAATACAATCAGAGCTCCAGAGGAGATCATAACTGCCACAGGGACAGTCTCTGCTCCAGAACTTGGTGCTGGGGAATGATGAAGCAGCTTCATGAAGTCGCCAATAATACCATCAGTGGGGAGGCCACAAATCTTGCTGTGTTTGTCCAGGTCTATTCTGTTCAGGGACCACCTGTCTTCCCCCTGTCCACCAGATGAGAGGGAGAGGGCTTGCAGAGAAATGTGTGCAGGTTAACACCCCTCTCTTTGGGAAGGAAAGCTGGGAAGCCTTCCTAGGTAGATGGTATTAAACATGTCATCACCTTCTTGTTTCTTCTCTCACTTTCTGGCTTGTTCCAGAACCCTTTGTACCAACAAGTGCTATTTTGAAACTATTTTGTGGCCAACAAATGTCTTTAACAGAATATGTTCTCTTTTTGCAGGATAGAGAACTGCGTCCGGAAGAAATTGAAGGTAAAATTTGTTGTTCCTTCTTTGTCCTCTTTCTCCCTGCCCAGTGAAAATCTTTTGGCTGGCCCTTTCATGGTGGCCCCCATGGGTTAAAATTATTTGGGGCAAATCAAGGGAGATGATTACTGGAATAATCCCAGTAACAGAAATAATGTATAAAACTGAAAGAGTTCTGACTGTAAGGAATTTGCATCCATTCCATATTCTTCAGGGTGAGAGGATAAGTAAGTAATGGGATATTGGCTGTTAGGGAACTGCTGTCCCTCCAGCTCCCACAGAAAGTGTTGTGGGGCATGATACTATAATATGGCTCCAAGGAAGCTGGTTTACCTGCTAATCCCTACAGTGAGGGGTGTATAATAGACTGCAGAGGTAAATGTTGGAAAAACTTACTAGTTGCAGTTTCTTTAGGAAGCACAGTTCAGCAATGAAATGTTTGTGACACTCGTAGTCCAAGCAAGCTTTCCTGACAGGAATGGGCCAGCAGCACTGCTGACAGAAGAGCTTAACTTTGCTGCAGTCATTGCCTCATGTAGGGAGATCTGGTGGGAAAATACTGAGTATCTTAGAGAGTCTGCCTTCATAAAGTGCTGTTTATTCTGGGGAGTTTTCTTGGAAAAGGTATTTCAAGCTGTCACTGACAATATTGTTCTTCCTTTCCTGCAGAATTAAGAGAAGCCTTTAAGGAGTTTGATAAAGACAAGGATGGGTTTATTAACTGCAGGGACCTGGGCAACTGCATGCGGACCATGGGCTACATGCCCACTGAGATGGAGCTAATAGAGCTATCCCAGCAGATCAACATGAACTGTGAGTAACACACACCCAGCTGTACCTGCCTGTTGCTGCTGTGCCCTGCATCATTGCCTCAGGCTTTCTTGGTCTCTGGCTGCCTCTTTTCCTTTGGAGTTTTTCCCTCTCTTCTTTGGTTCTGATTTTCACTTCTTATCATCTCTCCTGTTTGTTTGTGGTACCTAAAGTCAATGCCTTTGTTTTTGCTTATCAAAGGGGCTGTGTGGACTGTACTGTATATGGGAACAGTGAGTGGAAGTTGTCCTTCATGCTTATGTTGTCAGGTGTAAAACTGCCCTTAGTGTGTGCAGTCAGGCACCGGTGCACAGGTCCTGTGTGTTGTCACATTGAAGCTGTTGTCAGATGGTGTCTGACTGAAGAGCAAGCCTGGGAAGATGGGGATGCTTCATTTAGATGGGTGATGGATGGGCTGTTGGTGTGTGGTGGTTTTTTGTGTATCTGTTGTGTGCCTGGGGATGGGCTGTGAGCGAGCTGTGCTGGCAGCGTCAGATGGGAGCATCTGCTGCAGTCAGGGAAAGATGTGACAAATGCATCTGATTCACTGTAACTGTGTTTGTGACCCTTGTCTTTCACCATTGTTTTTGTCAGCTCTCATCTGTGGCAGTGCAGAGTATCACCCTCAGCCAGGTGGGGAGAGGCATATTTAGTGCATGTTATTTCTGACACAGGATTATGTTAAAAGGACAAAGTACTTGGTCAAGGGAAGGAGAACAGCTGTGACATATGCAACCAGTCACACACAAAAGCAGCTGATAACCTGGCACACAAGTGTTTGGGAATTTGAGAGTGTTGCTGACAGCTCTCAGGGCACTAACAAGTCAAAGAACTAATACAATGAATAAACAGTTGGACATACATTAGCTGCTGTAATGGAGCAGGACTGCACCAGTGCTGCAGGGCAGTGCCCAGGCTCTGCAGGGATGTCGTGCTGTGCCCTTGCTGTGCCCTTTGGCACAGGCACAGCAGAGTGTTGCTGTAAGCACTAGAACGATCAAGCCTCTGATACATACTGTGTGATGCAATAAGGGTGTGACAGTCCATGGCAGCCTAGGATGGAATAACTTGGGCTCATTCTGCCCAGCCCATAATCCAGAAAATACAGGGTAAAACTACCTCTCCTTTTACTTCCACTGTCCCACACCTTCTGTGCTTTGCTTCCTGGAGGGCCAAGCGCTCTCTGGGGCACACAGAAATGCAAAGTGAGTGCTGGTCTTGGCTAACTTATGGAGTCCTTACACACAATCTTTCATTTTGTCCCAAGTGGGTGGCCATGTGGATTTTGAAGATTTTGTTGAGCTGATGGGACCAAAACTTCTAGCTGAGACTGCAGACATGATTGGTGTAAAAGAACTCCGTGATGCCTTCAGAGAGGTGAGTGATCCTTTCCGCGTGCTCTCAGAGAGGTGAGCAACACAAGACAGGATAGAGAGAAGACTCACTGGAGAAGAGAAGAGAAGAGGAGGAGGAGAGAGCAGCACGGTGGAAGATCTAGAAAGAGCCCAGTCAGGCATGGAATAAAGGAAGAGCAGAGAACATTGCTAAGATAAGGGAACTCTTGAGGCAAGGAAAAGAAAGGCTGGTGCAGACAGAGCATTTGCAAGGGTTTTCTGAGGAGGAAAGACAGACTGGATCCAAAAGAGGAAAAGGAGAGACATGGAAGGAATGGAGAAAATACAGAGCGCTTAGGAGCAAGGCAGTACAAAAACCAGTCCAGAGCAAGATCTGTTTCCATTAATTGTATTTCCCCTGCTGGTATTTTTCATGTACTTGCAGTTTGACACCAATGGAGATGGGGAGATCAGCACCAGTGAGCTGCGAGAAGCCATGAAGAAACTGCTAGGGCAGCAGGTGGGTCACCGGGATATTGAAGAGATCATCCGGGACGTGGATCTGAACGGAGATGGGCGTGTTGATTTTGAAGGTGAGAAGGGATCAATGCTCGCTGTCCATCTCCCCTGGAGTGAATCAGAGTCTCAGATCAGAAGCTGAAGTGGAAGACTTGCATGCTCAGGGCCCATGGTTCTGAAGTATGGAGAAAAAATAACTTCATTTTCTCAGTCAGATGAATTGTTCATTTGTGTATCATTTCTTGCTGCATCTCAGTTGCCATTGGGTCTCCATAATTCTAGCATGGTAAGAGATAGAATCTGTTATACAGAAACAGATCCTGGTGCACACATGCTGTGCCTGCCATTGTTTTACGGGGCATTTTCCTTTCTTTAAATCTATTGCGAGAGCTGTGGGGTGGCTGAATTGCTTTGGAGAATGCATTGCATCTTTCATTTCCTCTGGCTCACCTTTGTTATATGCCTTTATAGAGAATTTGTTTCTGGACCTTTATGCCAGAAGATGGTCATGTGCCAGCTGTGCTCACTTATACTGCAGATATCTGATCCCTAGGTGTCATGTTAAATCCTAGAGATAATTAATTTCTTCTCACAATTTTCATGCCAGAAGGACTTTGAAAAATAAGAGTGGTTAGGCTTCTATCCTAGCTATTAGCTGTGGCAGGAGCAATATTAATAGAGCCTAGGGTTTCTGGCAAGGAAGCAGTTGATATCAGACAGCTAAGAAGATATAAGAGCTGGAAGGGTGTGAGAGTGTGGCAGGCTGCTTTTTTCCCTGGTAGAAATCCAGATGTCCCTTTACAGTAAGGGTGAAGTACTTGAACTATGAAATTAAAGTAAAATTGACATAATCTTTTTGGCTCAGTGTATTCCTGGGTCTCCTACATTACAAGGCATCTCAGTCCTCAGGATTACTGGAGCCTCTGAGGGCTTTGAAAATATTAGAATACCACCAGTATCTTCCTAGAAAGTATCTGGTAGCTGCAGTTGTTCTAATGCACTGGCTGATTATATGACAGAAGCTCTCCTTGTTTCCCACAGCTAAATTATGTTAGCTAAAATACATGAAATGCTATCCCAGTATCAATTTCTCTGTGAGTTAGCACTTTAGTTGTCAAAGGACACCTCTATCAATGGAAAAGGAGAAGTCAAGGGGGTAATTTCCACTGCCCTCTTCTTTGCAGAGTCATTAGTTCCTCAGCAATTCAAGTGCCGAATGAGAACACATTTATATTTGATGGCATTTACACTCAATTTGAACAACTGCAATTGACTTCACAAACTGCAGGGTAGTCAAGAAATAGATCCAGGGTATCCTTACAGTTAACATGTATCTTTAAAAACAAGAAGTCCCTTAAAGTAAGCTTTTCTCTGCAAGAACGCCAGTATAGATACTGGCACAACTCTCATGCTCTCCCACACTGGTATCTCTGTGAAGTGGCAAGCTTACTAAGAAATCATACTGTGTTCCCAAAACTGCATATCAAGGTTCCCTGAAGTTACAGTGAAGGGAGACAATGCTGGCTGTAGTGTTGCACAAAGAGTTGCTTGTGCAAACAAGACCGTAGGTGGTTGGGAAGGAGTCCAAGGCAATGAACTGACCTGCTGGAGGGATCTTATCACCATATCTGATGCAAGGATTAAAGCCCACGTTGTGTGAGCTCTCAGGGCCAATCTCAGAGTGCACAGGCTTTGCTGGCAGCCTGGGGACTCCCGGTCTCACCCTGGCTGCTGTCTCCAGTGGATGAGAGCTGGGCTGGGGACCATGGATGCCTTCTGGTTCAGGGCTCTCTTGTGTTGTTGGTTGCAGAGTTTGTTCGCATGATGTCCCGTTGAAGATTATTCTCAGCTAAAGAAGAATCAGCACCTTAGAGAGGGCAGAAGAGGACCTAGCTGGAGCATCTAGCCCCGATGTTCCTACGTGAAGGTTTATCGGCTGGCTGCAATTAGGACATTGCAAGATGACCTGCTGCTCCTCCCTCATGGTGGTCCCCATGCCCCTCCACCCTTTCACACTGTGAAAGACTTGCAACTTCCTACAACTGGAACCATTCCTTGAAGAAGATTGCAGGAAACTGCAGAGCCAGGACTTGCCATGATGCTTTCATGGGATATTTGCAACTTTAGACTCCTCCTCCCCAGCTTTATTCTCCCACCAGCTGCTGCAAAGCAAAAGCAGGAGAAATCCTCTTGGCTTGGTGGATGAGAGCAAAGCCATTGGGACTGGTGGCAGCCTCAGGGCGTGCTCTGCACTTCTTGGTTTCCCTTGGTGAACCGTGTCTGTGTTTGCTGTCTCAGTGTGTGTCTGTCTGTGTGGAGTTATTTATGCTTCCCCAACACTTATTTGCATCTCCTGTGGTTATGTTTACCAAGAGCAAATTCAAATATATGTCTTGTGGGGGGAAAGTGATAAATATGCACGTTGAAATGATGTGGAGCCTGGATGTCCCTGTGACAGGTGGTGACTGTGCTGGGGGAGAAGGGCTTGGGCAGATGCACACCCCAGGGTCTGCACCAGGATCCAGAGGCAAGTCCTTGCTGCAGAGAGGGGAGTCAGTGCTGGCCACTAAGTCTGTGTCAGGACTCTGCCCTCCCTCCCACTGTCCCCATGGCCAAGGGGCATGGAGGTGCCTCACAGTGAGGGCAGTGCAAAGGGTTCCCATCCACTGGCATGGGCACAGGTGAGAGCCCTTGCAGTATTGTGGGAAGGAGCAATGAGAGAAAGGGCCCAAAGGGGAGCTGGGTGGGAAGGGGACAAGCAGCAATAGCCAACCTCACCCTTTTCAGTTCATTTTAAACACAACTGTGAGCACATTTATGGTGGGGCCATGCTGTGGGAGCTGAGCTGTAACTCCACTGGTGTTGGGGATTGGCTGGGAGCTTCCTTGTGTGGCAGTGCCCTGCTCTCCAACCTCTTCACACTCAGAAATGCTGCACATGTCTGCAGCAGTGACAACAGCAGCCTCCAGGCCCAACCAGCTGCTTCCAGACACATCAAATCTTACCCTCCTTTTCCCAAGATGCTCCCAAGCTACCACTCTCTTCCCCTACTCTACCAGACCTGCAGACTCACTCACAAGTTGCCAGGATTAATTTCTGTTTGGCTTCAAATGGCTTAAAAACCATCATCACTGTGTTTCTTGGTGTGATTGGGAGCTGTTTTCCTCTTGGTTGCCTCCTTACTCAAACTGGAGGTCAAGGACCAATATCCTCCTGCTTCCTCCATCTCAAATCTTTCACTTCCAGGGTTCTCTGTCAGATTCTCAGGGTCCACAGATCCATGTCCCAGAGGAGCATTTTCTCTTCTGCCTTCCTGTTGCTGTGCTAACCAGCATAGCTGTAGTGATGGCTGATGCTCCAGTGATGGAAAAACTGTTTCTCCTTATATTTGTGTGTGTGTGTGTGTGCATGTTTACTTGTGTTTGCACAGGTGTGTGCACTAGGAAGGGTTTGTGTGTGTGCACATAAAAGCAAGGAGTGCAAATAGGTACCTGGGAGTGAAGCAATAGAAGAGTTTGTATGCAAGTGGGTGTATGCCCACTGTGTGTGTTTATCTATGGAGCTGGTCCCATCTTGGAAATGTGGGTGTGAGCCAAGAAATTGGGAAATGGTTATTTACAGATCTCCACATTTACTGGCTCAGAAGCTGTATTATTGAGGGTGATATTGGAGATGAGGGTGATAAACTGAACAGAGTCCAGAGTCCTGGTATGTTACAAATGTGTTTAGGGTATTACTGGAGAGGGGGAGCCATGTGCAGGCTTGTCTGCCAAAGGGAGTGCTGGTACACAACTGTGCTTCCCTTACAGTGGAGCCTGTTGAGGGAGGAGCTGCTTGTGCCTGTGGAGCAGGACAGCTGTGCTGCTGCCTGTGTGCTGCAGGGTGCTGTGCCTGCCTTGGGCACTGGGCATGGCTGGGTGTATGTCTTGTGCCACAGCCAACCTGCAGGAGCCCAGGGGATAGTCAGAGGCCACGAGTGTGCTGGCTGCTTCTGCCTGCTCCTGCCCAGACCCTGCCCTGAGCAGTCACATCTTTTGCCCACAGCAACAGATGGCAGGACAGTGTTTATTGAAAATGGTTCCCACATGTCTGGAGGCTGGGCTGATCCACAGTGCAGCATCACAGTGGCTGGGCATCTTTGCTGCAAACCACGGCCACATTTGCTTGAGCAGGTCCCTGTGTTTGTGGTGTGGCAGAGCTGTGCCTGTCATCCCAGGAGTACTAGGCAAAGGTTGGCTGCAGGACACCTCTGTGTCATTGCAGAGGCAGTCCTGGAACCACAGCTACTTCTGAGGAAAGCTGAGTCTGCCAAATCATCCGTAGCTCTGTTCTGCCAGGTCTCACCATGATACAGTGAACAGGTCAGACAGGGCAGGTCTCAAAAGCCTTCTTTTTTTTTTTTTTCTTCCAGCAGAAGCTCTTGAGCTCCTGTTGCTAGCCTGATTTTACTTTCACAACAAACCCCAAATAATCCCAGGGAGTTTTACTATTTCCTTATGTAGACATGGGTAGAGATTAAAGGTCCAATCTAAATAATCTAATTCCAGAGATAATCCTTTTGCTCTTATCTTCAATTTTGTGCCAGGGAGCTGCTTCCAAGGAGCTCTGCATGGCAGGGCACAGCTGTTCCCTTGTGGGCACCTGAGCCTTGTAGCCCTGTGCCATTTGGGAGGGCTATGGGGCAGTGGGGCTGGCTCATACTGATTTCTTAGATACCTCATTAGCCACAAGGCCTGCTTCTAACCCACATCTTTTTGCTGCTCTTTTTGGACATCCCAAATGCTGCTCCCATTTTCCAGCAGTGAATGGCTAATACCCTAACCATGTGCCCCTCGTTGCTCAGGAACAGTCAGGGTGCTAGGTAGACCAGGCAGGACTGATTCAGTCATTTTGGCACAGCTGCCAGGGGACAGGGAGAGGTCAAGGGATTTAGAAAATGACCCTGAGCCTTTCACTTGTAGGTTACTGGTGTAAATCCAGCCTGCATCAAGGGACTGACTGATGGCTCAGTGGATTAGTAAAAGGGTGGAGCCTCTGACATCTGGGGCACAAACTGGCATCAAGTTGCTGGTGTGATGGTAAGTATTGATTGGGGACAGCAGTGTAGGACACCACAAACACAGGGCAAACAGCACCTGCCATCCTCTGCCAGGAGCTGTGGCCAGCCTGGAGCCAGGGTGAGGGGCTCCTCTTGCCCCAGATGAGCACAGCCACTGTCCCTCCTCACTGCTGCTCAGTTAATCCCTCCTGCTTTGTGATGCATGACTGATTCTTGGGAAGTGATCATCCAAGCTAGTTTTTAGAAAATGTTCACCCTGGGAATAGCTGGTAACACTTAAAGTGTTTATGTGGTTCAAAGTTGGGTTCCTCACCCACACATCACAGTTGAAAGTGTAGGATTAGGGAGGATCATTTGTAATCAGCACAAATGAGCTCTAAAGAGGCCTCCCTCAACCTCACCAACTGGACAGCATTGTCCTGGCCATGGCTGCTTGCACTCCTTTGGTAACAGAACTTGAGGGACACCCAACAGGTCACAAACACAGCAGGGATACAGGAGATTAGCCTGGATTTGATCAGATGCTGCCAGGGCTGGGGTCTGTAATGCTGAGATGATTTGCCAGGAATCAGCGTGAGGTGGCTGAATCTGGGGAGGTGCTAAGTGTACACATTTCATGCTACTAATCTGCATGTGCTTTCCTAAGGCACCCTGTAGTTTTAGGAACCCCTTCCTTGCAGCAGTGCTGGTGTGGGAGTGCAGCAGTGCCATGTCTGTCTTGGCCCAGTTATATCATGAGCCCAAGAACTGAGGTGACAGCAGCAGGAACATGCTTTGGGATCCACTCCAGCCTGGGCAGAGCAGACTGGGGAGCAGGGGGTGGGTAGTTACATTCTGCCAAACAGTTCACTTCTCCAACACTGTGTCTGGTTAAGAGGCCCACAGGTGCATTACAAAAGCAACAAATGCATTTAATTCCCAGTCTGCAGCACCAAGTCTTTATTTATAGAAGCAAATGCTTTGTGAAAGACTTGAATTAATAAAATATCACTGGCACTTGAAGCAGCCCCTGCTAATGCAGCCGGTGCCAGGAGTGCAGTCCTGAGGCCTGGCCGGTATCTGATGCCTCAAGGAACACCGTGATCAGACAGAAGGGCAAACATTAAGTTATTTGTTCCCCCTTTGTGTAGGGAGTGAGTTTCATTCGACCTCCCCCTGGAATATCTCCCTCCAGCCACCCAAGATCTTGCCAAGGTCCTCCAGAAAACAAACCCAGGATTTTACATTCTCCTATAAAGTCCAAGCCAGGGCTCAGCCCACTGGCAGTGTCACGGTCACCTCCCTGCCTTCCCCTTCACTGCCCGCTTTGCTTCGCCCGCAGATTATTGCGGTGCAAGGTGCTCGCACGCCACCGGCCGCTTCGCTCCTTACCGGGCGGACGGCAGCTGCCTATTCCCTTACTCCATGGCAGGGGCGAATGGGAGAACCAGCGGGTTCTGCCAAGGCAGCGAGCGGGGCTTGGCAGCCGCTGTTCAGAGCACAGCGGGCACGGAGCTACCGGGGACGTGCCGAGGAGCCGCCCCCGACGGCGGTGGAGCTCCCGCTGCCCTGGGTCCGCTTCCAGCCCCTTCCCCGAGCAGACCGGGTGCGCTCCGCTCCGCGCTGCCGCAGCGCCGCCCGTTGCCGCGGCAACCCTCCGTCTGCGCTTCCCGCCGCCGCCCCGCCGTGCTCCGCGTTCCGCCGCGCTGGAGCCCCGCGATTGGCGGCGCGGAGGGGCGGGCTTTGCCCACCAGCCGCCGGCGCTCAGGCCAGCTCGCCGGGCTGTCCCCGCTGCGGACACGGCCCTGGGGAGCCTCGTCCGTCCCCGCCGCGCCTTCCGAGGGGAGCCGGTTCCACACCCATTCCGCTCCCTGCGCGAGCGGTACCGGCCCCGGGCACCCCGGCCCGCAGGGACCCGGCTCCCCGCGCCGCTCCCGCCGCTGTCCCCGCGCCGCTCAGCCCAACCCGCCCATCGCCGCCGCTCATTGGCCCGCCGCCTTATGAATATGCAGATCCATGCCCGCGGCCGTCTAATGGCAGGCGGGCAGGTAATTAATATTCTCGTTTCGGCGCGCGGATTGGCCGGTGCTCGTCCCGCCCCGGCAGCGGGGTAAGCCGCCCCCTGTCGGCGGCAGGAAGGGGCGGGCGCGGCGCCGGGAGCGCGACATGGTGGGCGCTCGTACGCGCGGGGCGCCGCTGCTGCCGCCCGTGCTGCTGCTGCCGCTGCTGCTGCGGGGCGCGGCGGGCGGCATCGCCGATAGCGTCGTCTGGGCCGTCAACGCGGGCGGCGATGCCCATGTGGACGTGAACGGCATCCACTTCCGCAAGGACCCGCTCGAGGGCCGCGTGGGCCGAGGTGAGGGCGGGGGACACGCCGCGGCCGGGGGGTTTCG